CTGCCCCCCTTTCCTGTCTGTTTCAGCTGTCACTATCATAAAGGCAATAAAAGCCCAAAAAATACTTTAAAATAAATAAAAGATAAATACTGTGTGTTAGAATCTGACAAACACTGACAGCACTCCTGTCTATGCTCCGACATATGCTCTTACACGGAAGTGGGTGTTCGTATGAATTTACCTATGGAGATTGATTAATAGCAGTTCTGATGCAGAGCAAACATGGTGCCATTTAACTCATCTGGGCTTGTCTTTTTAGAACCTCGACTACCCTTCTCCATCTATTTTTGGCTGGCCGCTGGCTGGTTTGAGTGACGTGGAATAAACTTTTTGAACTTGTGTATGTTACATATAAATATTAAGGTATAATGTAAATAAATACAGTATACAGATGAGGGAAAAGGTTCTATTGTTCAGCACATGGTTATATTGTATGGCTGACTGGTTTTGGGCCTTTCTCCTCCACATACTTCATGTTAACATTTGGTAACATGGTATTACCTACTTTAGGTGTACTAGGTTGTGCCAATTTGCTCCATCATGTATTTGCAGCAGGACATTCCTGAGCCAACCGATGCAATATCCATGCAGCGCTAGTGAGCAGGACCAAAGCATGATTGTGCCACCCTCAGCTGAGCTTTATTGACATCATGGTCAACAGAGTGGCTCAAACAAAGAAAAAAGGCATCATGTCAAACACGCACATATGCTAACCATAGTTTTATAGCTCCTGTGTAAGGTAGGTATTGCTGCTGAATGTGTTTTTTTTTGTTTTTTTGTTTTTTTACAATCTAAATTCTGAAAAAATCCTCAGTGTTTTCTGATCTGATCCCCTTTATTGCTTCTAGATTTGCCCTAATGGCCTTAATTAAGTTCAATACTCCCTTTCAAAGCTATTAGTTTAAGTATTTTATTGCAGACACAAGATCAGCACTTCCTGGTAGCGTTGTGCTTCACTGTAAGAGCCTTCCTCTGGGCTTTTACAACATATTTTTGTCAAATGCATTTAGATAAGTTCCCAATTTTTTTTCCCCGGGGACCCACTTTTTAAAAATGACAATCCATGACGACCCAATTCACATTCCTGACCATTTTTACTGCTATTTCTGCATATTCTTGAACAGGTACAGCAGCCATTTTGGAGAGATATACATTTGATAAACCACAATTCATCAGTAAAACAATACACGTTTTAAATACTTTATGAATGAAACAATATAACGGCATTGAGGTTAACAGGTTCTAACAGGTTAACAGAATGTGTGCTCATTCTGAGACAAAATGTGAGCATTTAGGAAACGTTAAGGCTCTCGTTTTTAACGAGTTTAACAATGTACACATTTTAAATACCTAATAAATGAGAAAAAATAAGTACATTTAACAGGAGGAAGAAATTCTGCGAATTATTTTGCGACCCGAATAAAATCTCTGGGTATTAATGGTTTAGATAGTTTTGATTTGATTTATTGATTGTTTTGAATTCATTAGAAATTTGGGGTAAGACAGTGAATGTAAATGACCCAATGTCAGCTGGGATTGGCTCCAGCCCCCCTTGACCCTGCAAAGGATAAGCAGTTATAAGTAATGGATGGATGGAAGTTGCTTAACAAAAAGAGTTTTGGTAACAGAACTGATTATAATCATTTACCACCAGAAAGGTTTTTTACTGTGATGCAGCTGCTCAAAGAGTTAAGTCAGTCACTGCGGTTGGCTACCAATGGTTACCTTGCTGATCAATAGAAGTTGCACTTTAAATTGTTTGTGATGGATCAGTATGAACACAGTGGAAGTCTTGGAAAGCATGGAAAAGTGGATTAAAAATTAGTGTGGCTTCAAACGAATACAGATAACAATAAGGCAACACCAAAGTTCAAATGAAAACAACTCCTTTATTGTGCAAGCTAAGTATTCATTTATTCCAATCTATTCTACTGTGTGCATATAGAGAAAAATCGAATGAGTGAAAAGCTGATTTTATATCCTATATCTCTTTTTACATCTTCATTCATTGCTTCCTTATTGACCTCTTTCTTTCCCTGTCTATGGATTCTTTCTCTCTGACTCCTCACATTGGTCTTGCTTATTTCACGTATTGCCCTCTCCTCCCCCTCCATTTCCAGCAGTCATGTGAAGCAGTGAATGTAATTGCTCCAGGGGACCAGTTAGTCATTGCTATGCAGCAAAGAACACTAACACAATACCATCACCATCTCTGTCAGTGATACCGCCACTAGTGCCACTTGCAACATGTTTTTATTTCTCCCTGAATGATTTTTCTGTCTTGAAGGCCAGAGCAGAACGAAGGAGCTGGCTAATCGCAACAGGTTTGACCTACTTTCAAGGAATTAGACCAACAGTAGCTTTAAGTTGGCCAATATAAAGCAGTAGTCCACAGGAACTTTTTCTTGTGTACCACCAATGTTTACACTCACTAGACCCACTTTTCTCATTCCCACAAACACTGTGCTGTAGTCAGTACAGTGCTATATCAAACAAAATGAAATCTGTCACTGTTATGTAATGTCTGGTAAACAACATAGTCACTATAGCAGCTATGGAATTGGATAATTTCAGCCGCTAGACCGTCGGGTTAATAGGGTGACCTGTTCTAGCACCACTCACTCAGTATAGATAATGAAATATACACATTATATCGTATATGAATATGTCACAAGTCTGTACGTTGTAGATGAACTAAGCACTAAGCAAGGTCTACTTACTAGCTTCATCAATTTTAAGCGCATGAAGTGGTCTTCACCCAAGCTGTAAAGCTATCAAGACATCCCTTGTGCTTCGTTCACCATATATATAGGTCAAGAATAAATATCCATGCTCAAATCACAAGCTCTCATTCTCTCATACCACGGCTAGTTATGCTGCTGCTAAATAATCAATGATTGTTAGAGAATTGTGTTTTTAAGAATTAAGACAAACAAGTTGTTCAGAATAGCCAGTAAGCAACTCTATCTAAGGATGATGAAAGGTTCTGTGCAGATTGATAGAGCCAATAAGCGACATTAGCCGCACACTCACAGGTGAAGCCACTAAACAGTTCATTAGTATGGTAGAATGAGCACACTTCATTTGCTTCTTATTTAATGTTACTCCGCAACAGCAAATGTACCCAATAAGACTAAAGAAAAACAAATAGATTTTTTCCAATCACATACCTACTGACTGCTTTAAATTGAACTCGATGGGGGACGACAATATGGTAAAATTATTCAGCTCACCTCTACTATTAGCTTTGTTTTTTAAAGGCAATGGCCTTCAAAGGCCACCTCTATCAGTTAAGATAGAAATGCTGTACCTATGGTGAAACAGGGCAAGCATTATGTGTGAAATACAAGTGAAAATCAATAGGTTTCCCTGTCATATGTTCTATAACAAGACAAGCACTGAACTGGACAACTGTTGCACACCCTCCTTAGATATTAATATGGTCACCACATTACTGTCCTTTTTCTTTAAACAAAGATATTATGAGCTATAGTTTTAAAATCAATGTCACCATATGACATAGCCCGTATCATGCGTTTTCAGCTCTTCATCCACCCCAATCTCTAACGACCACATACAGCAACTGGTTGAGCTGCTTATTCCTTCCACCTGCCCAGCCTCCTCTTTCGTCCCTTGCTTATAAATCAATATACATGAAACGGTGTGTGTCTTCTTTCCCATACTGTATTCTGTATATCCATACTGCTTCTGTTCTGTATACTGTATCTCTGGGGGTGTTGCACACCCAGCATGCTGCTAAAGGTCAGCACCCTGGAGAGAAGAAGCTGTCGTTTTAACTTTATGATGTCAGTCGTGTTACCGTCTGAATGTACTGAAAATTACAGGGTGACAAGCAGGACTATAGAAATGTAAAGTACTGTAGCAGCCATTGGTAACACCAACTCCACGACTATCCACAATTTTGCCAGCAATGTTCCACCAACTAAAACTTTTTTCATTTTTTTAAATGAAAATAATGGGAACTTTGTGTATCTAAGAATATCCAAACAGGCTTAACAGCCCAAAGGTCAAGATACTTATTCAACAAATTAGCAAGGAAATGTCGCCTTCATTATGGAGTGATGGGTATTAGTGGAAACAGAAGCCAGTAAAAACTAGTTAAAGCACCTCTCCTCTTCAATTAACCACAGAGCTAACAAGGTCAACACACACACACACACACATGCAGACACCAATCATTAACAGGAAGACTGGGTTTAAACTAAAGATTAAAGATGGTTATGTTTAGATTAAGATTTGTGGTCGGAGTTAGGGAAAAGGTTTGGTTACAGTTTGGCTAAATGGATAGAATCCAGTAGATAACATCTACATATCCTAATGAACATCATTACAATCATCTCTCTATCAACACTGGTGATAGTTAACACACAGGTGCTATTGATGCCAGCTTTAATGATTCCTACACATTTACTTTGAGAATGTATTAAGACGGTCGGAGCTGATGAATGTGGTGCTATGGTCTAGTAAAAGTAAGAAGCTAAATCACCCCAATATCTGCTGCTACACGAGCAATCGCTCAAATAAATGAGGTCCATTTTTATTATGTTACACAACTACTTGATACTTTGGTCTGTCATCACTGGGAATAGAGGTATCAAGACCTACGTTTCCAGGGTGACTGGAAAATATTACTGTACAGCAACAGAGATGGAGCCAAATGACTGTGTACAATTAAGTGAATGAGAGAAAAAGACCATTTTGAGCAGTCTGGTCACAGTCCTCAAGGACAAAAATGTACCTAGTGTTGCTTTTGGCAAACATCTTTGCAAGAATCTGACATGCACTGATTTTAACTCAGGATGCTGCTGTTGGGCTCCCCAGCCAGGATGCCCTGCAGGTACAGCAGGTGTCTTGTTGAGAATTTACTTACAGTGTTTCACAGATTAAGCAGGTTATCATAGTTCATTGAAAAAAAAGATCAGGCCTATTCAACATGCGTATTAGTTAAACACAGATATTCAACAAGTGGCAGCCTATCTCTTATCACTGGAATAAAAAGAAACGTGATAAAGTCAGAAATCATTAACAATTATTAATAAATTATTAATAAATTAAAAATAAAAAAAGCCAGAGCAGCATTTACCTCGGTGTCCTGTGAAACAACCAGTCCGGTTGCTGGAGCCGCAAAGATTAAACAGCCGATCGGAACACACAGGTATCCTCCGTTCAGCCAGCTCCGGTCAAACTTCTCACGTGGATGGGAAAGGAGAAGGAGACGCGCCGACTCTTATCATGAATGCTCTGAGACCGACGTGTACCTTCAGAGTTCATGTCCAGCCGAAACAAGTCTTCGCCGGTTTGGTGGACATCAGTGAGACGCTGCGCGTTAGATGCGCTCGAAAAGTGACCCCGCCGCCTCTTTCTCGTGGACTGACCCTGCGGATGGATAGAACAAGCTTACACAGAAACACCGCTGCAGCCCCCCTCCCACACCCCCACCAAACCCCC